GGCAATTCTAGAAATGTGCCCTTCTTCTCTTCTCTTATTTTCCTTATTTCTTCTTTCCACCCAAACTTGGGCTCCATTCAAAGGCTGGTGCAGACTATTTTTAGACAGTTATAAATAGTATGGGAGTTGCCTCTGAGCGCTCGGCGGGGAAGGAACCGGACTTTTCGGGAACAGTATAAAATAAAGGCCATGGACCTGACCTCCTTCCCATTGAGATGGTGTGGTTTTCCATTACAGAGATGCTCAGTTTGCTCATCCCAAGAGGAGATATCACACATAAAGTTCAGCACCAATTACTTCCAAAGGCATAATGGAGGCCAGAAAGAGGAGAGCAGCTGGCTGCTTCATGCTATATATCCCTATATAGGAACTAAACTCCCATTAACCGTTAATTATTAAGGGATCCATCATTATTGCTATGGTGTGGATAATAAATAATCTGTAGTCTTTCACTGATGTCAAGGAAGAAGGGTTATTAAAAGGGGGGTTGCAAAAAATAGCTTTCGAGGAGAGGCGAGTAACAAATTTATTATTATTATTATTATTATTATTAGACTGAGGAGGCATCTGTAGTGTAGAATGAACACATATTATTATTATTATTATTACTATTGTTATTATTTTGAGTGTGCATCTGCAATGTAGAATGAACACAGCTGTTACTACTACTACTACTACTACTACTACTACTATTAGACTGAGTAGTTGTTGTACTATTACTATTACTCTTCATATTATACTGAGGATACATTTGCAGTGTAGAATGAGCACAAATTATTATTATTATTATTATTATTATTATTATTAGTATTAAACTAAGGATGCATCTGCATTGTAGAATTACTAATTATGATGATGATGATCATAATCATTATTGTACTGAGGGAGCATCTGCAATGCAGAATCAACACAGATATTATTACTACTACTACTACTATTAGTATTATTATTCTGAAGGTGCATTTGCAGTGTAAAATGAACACAGCTGTTACTACTACTACTACTACTACTACTACTACTATTAGACTGAAGGGGCACCTGCAGTGTAGAATGAACACAGGTTATTATTATTATTACTGTTATTATTATTCTGAGAGTGTATCTGCAATGTGCAATGAACACAGATTATTATTATTATTATTATTATTATTATTATTATTATTATTATTACTAGACTGAGGGTGCATATGGAGTGTAGAATGAACACCAATTATCATCATCATCATCATATTATGGGTGCATCTGCACTGTAGAATATACAACAATTGTTGTTGTTGTTGTTGTTGTTGTTGTTCTGAGGGTACATGTAGAGTGTAGAATGAACACTTATTATTATTATTATTATTATTATTATTATTTAGACTAAGGATGCATCTGCATTGTAGAATGACTAATGATGATGATGATGATGATGATGATGATGATTATCATCACCACCATCATCATCATCATCATCATTATACTGAAGGTGCATTTGCAATGCAGAATCAACACAGATATTATTATTATTATTATTATTATTATTATTATTATTATTATTCTGAAGGTGCATCTGTAGTGTAGAATAAACACAGATATTATTATTATTATTATTATTATTATTATTATTATTTAGACTAAGGATGCATCTGCATTGTAGAATGACTAATGATGATGATGATGATGATGATGATGATTATCATCACCACCATCATCATCATCATCATTATACTGAAGGTGCATTTGCAATGCAGAATCAACACAGATATTATTATTATTATTATTATTATTATTATTATTATTATTCTGAAGGTGCATCTGTAGTGTAGAATAAACACAGATATTATTATTATTATTATTATTATTATTATTATTATTTAGACTAAGGATGCATCTGCATTGTAGAATGACTAATGATGATGATGATGATGATGATGATGATGATTATCATCACCACCATCATCATCATCATCATTATACTGAAGGTGCATTTGCAATGCAGAATCAACACAGATATTATTATTATTATTATTATTATTATTATTATTATTATTCTGAAGGTGCATCTGTAGTGTAGAATAAACACAGATATTATTATTATTATTATTATTATTATTATTATTATTATTATTATCACCACCATCACCAGATTATGGGTGCATCTGCACTGTAGAATAAACAACAATTATTGTTGTTGTTATTGTTGTTGTTCTGAGGATGAATGTGGAGTGTAGAATGAACACATTATTATTATTATTATTATTATTATTATTATCATCACCATCATCATCAGATTATGGGTGCATCTGCAGTGTAGAATAAACAACAACTATTGTTGTAGTTGTTGTTCTGAAGGTGCATCTGCAGTGTAGAATGAACATAGATATTATTATTATTATTATTATTATTATTATTATTAGACTGAGGATGCATGTGGAGTGAAGAATGAACACCAATTATTATTATTATTATCACCATCCTCATCAGATTATGGGTGCATTATTGTTGCTGTTGATGTTGTTCTGAGGGTGCATGTGGAGTGTAGAATGAACGCTATTATTATTATTATTATTATTATTATTATTATTATTATTATTATCACAATCATCTTTGAGTGAATGTATAGGTCTGTTTCCCCTTGTATGATTGTGTTCGGGTTCCTTGGCCTGGCCAAAAGAGAAAACTTCCCCAAAGGATCCTTGTTTGAACTAGCAGCCTATGTCAACAAAGGGAGTGCCTCTCTTTATCGCATCGCCTCCAAATGTGTATATACTTTCATTGGATTGTTACTTTAATGGCTTTTTAATGTTTGTATCAATAATATTGGTGCTCCGTTAAATATGTTCTGAGCTGCCTTGAGAAAGAGAGAACAGAAGCCAATAAATAAACACTATAAAGGTATTAAAAACAGACCTCTGCCCTTCTTCAGCCCCATAGCTTTGCGGAAAGGAGCTCAAGATGAATTCAAATCACTGATTTTCAAGTAACGGGATCCCCAAAGTCTCCTTTGCTCTCTTACTCGGAGCACCAGCGGCCAAGGGTGGGGCCCAGCACGAAGAGAGAGATATTCTGCAATACTTCTTTGCAGCAGGGGAGCCTATGGATTTGTCAGAAATTGTGGGGCTCTTGCATGTTTGGACTTGGGCCCCAGAGATCTCATTCTTTCTCTCTGTCTATCTCTACCTTTCTATCTCTGTCTATCTATCTATCTATCTATCTATCTATCTATCTATCTATCTATCTATCTATCTACATACCTGCCTTTCTGTCTGTTCATCCATCTGTCCAGCTAGCTAGCTCTCTACCAATCCATCCATCCATCTATCTATCTATCTATCTATCTATCTATCTATCTATCTATCTATCTATCCATCTGTCTACCTACCTACTACCTTTTCACCTATTCATCCATCTACCAACCTATCTATCTCCTAATCCATCAATTCATCCATCTACATATTTATCAATCTATTGACTTTCTATCCATCCACCTGTCTATTGACCTTTCTATCTATTGATCCATCCATCTACCTATCTATCCATCCATCTATCCATCTTCCTACCTATCCATCCATCTAGTGAGATTTCTATTTATCAACCTATTTATCCACCTACCTACCTACCTTTCTAACTATCTATCTATCCATCCATCCAACTATCTATCTATCTATCTATCTATCTATCTATCTATCTATCTATCTATCTATCTATCTATCTATCTATCTACCTTTCTATCCATCCATCCATCCATCCATCCATCTATTTATCTACCTGTTTACCTACAAATGTACCCACCCATCCATCTACCTATCCACCCATCCATTCATCTATCTGTCTATCCATTCATCCATCAGTCTACCTATCTATCAATCCATCTATCTATCTATCTATCTATCTATCTATCTATCTATCTACCTTTCTATCTATCCATCCATCCATCTATCTATCTTTCTATCTATCTTTCTATCTGTCTATCTATCCATCCATCCATCAATCTACCTATCTATCTATCAATCCATCTATCTATCTACCTTTCTATCTATCCATTCATTCATCTACCTATCTACTGATCTATCTATCTATCCATCAATCTACCTATTTATCAGTCCATTTATCTATCTACCTTTCTATCTATCCATTCATTCATCTACCTATCTACTGATCTATCTATCTATCCATCAATCTACCTATCTATCAATCCATCTATCTTTCTACCTACCTTTCTACCTATCCATCCATTCATCTACCTGTCTATTGATCTATCTATCTACCTTTCTATCTATCCATCTATTTATCTACCTGTCGACATACTTACCTATCCATCTATCAATCTATCAATCTATCTATCTATCCATTCATCCATCAATCTACCTAGCTATTGATCTTTCTATGTTTCAGTCCATCTATCTATCAACTTTTCTATCTATACATCCATTCATCTACCTATCTATTGACCTTTCTATCTATCCATCTTTTCATCTATTTATCTACCTGTCTACCTATCTATCCATCCATCCATCCATCCATCCATCCATCCATCCATCTATTGACCTATCTATATTTTTATCTCTCCATCAATCTATTTATCAACCTGTCCATCCATCTACCTATCTATCGAGTTATCTACTTATCTATGCAGATAAAAGGTCTACCTTTCTATCTATCTCTACCTTCAGTTCTTCCCAAATCTGGGTGGGAGGGAGCCTCTCCCAAACCGGGAGGCCCTCCTGTGTTGCATCTACACCGGAAAAGGAATGCGGTTTGAGGCGGCTTTCCTTGCCAGTGGCTCCAGTTTGCAGGATCCGGGGAGGTGTAGTCGTGCAGCCTCTCCAAACTACAGAGCCCAGCATCCCAGCCATTCCTCTGCATGCATCATTCCCCTCCCTTTCTGGGAAGAGAGCCACCAAAAGTTTTCCAGATCTCCTTTACTTTGGGGAGGGGGGGGGGGTGTTGACGTCGTCCCTCTGGGGGCGTGGCCTGGGAGAGGCCCCTCCCCTGGCAGAGGCGGGGAAGGCAGGCAGGAAGGAAAGAAGGAGGGAGGAGAAGAGGAGGAGGAGGAGGAGGAGAGGACGCGCCCCACTCTTCTGCCCTCCCTTGCTTCCTTCCTTCTTCCTTGGCCACCGCACCGCCGCCTCGCCTTGCCGCTTCCCACCCGCCACGATGCCTAAAACGGTAAGGCTTCTCCTCTTTCTCCTTCTTCTTCTCCTTCTTCTCTAAGAAAAGGGAGAAAGAGGGAAAGGAGGAGTGCGGGGCCTTTCTCTGGGTGTCCCCCCCCCCTTTTTGGCAAGGCCAGGGGTTCCTTCCCGCCCGAATGGGAGGCCAAAGAAAGCCTCCTCTGGCCACCAGCACGTCTTCCTGCTCTTGTTCTTCTCTTCTAGCTCCTACTCTTCCTTCTCCTCTTCTTCTCCTCTCTCTTTTTCTTCCTCCTTCTCGTCTTCTTTCTCCTCTTTCTCCTCCTCTTCTCTTCCTTCTCTTACTCTTCTTTCTCCTTCTCTTTCTCCTCCTCCTCGTCCCCTTACTTCTCTTCCTCCTCTTCTTTTTCCTCTTCCTCCTTCTCCTTTTTCTTTCCTTCCGGCTCTCTTTCTCTCTTCTTTTTCCCTCTCCTCCTCTTCTTTCTCCTCCTCCTCTTCCTCCCCCTTTCCCACTTCTTTTTCTTCCTTTTCTTCTTCCAGCTCTTCCTCCTCTTCTCTTCTTCTTCCTTCTCCTCTTCTTTCTCCTTCTCTTCCTCCATGGCCTTTTTCCTCCTCCTCCTCCTCTTCTTTCTCTTGCTCTTCTCCTTCCCCCTCCTTCTTCCACCTCCTTCTCCTCTTCCTCCTCTTCTCTTTCTCATTCTCTTCCTCCATTGTCTTCTCTTCTTCTTCCTCCTCCTCCTCTTCTTCTTCTTCTTCTTCTTCTTCTTCCTCCTTCTCTTCTTCTTCCCCCTCTTCTTCGGCTCCTCCTCCAACCCTTTCTTCTTTCAAGGATGGCCTCCTTTCCCCCTTCTTGGAAATGCCGGCCTGAGTCGGGTTTCAGAAATGGCTGCTGGGGAGGCCCCCAAACTCTTCCCCTTTGGGATCCCCCTCCACATTAGGCCTTTGCTCAGGTTTGGTCTCCCGCCCATACCCCAGCTTTGGGATGGCATGGCTATGCTCCAGAGTTTGAGAGAAGCTCCTCTCTTGCATTCCAGCTCTGGGAATCTCCCCCAGCCAAGCTCAAGCTACAATCCAGACCTAACTTTTCCCAAACTCTGGAAGAGTTACTCTTCTCTGCCTGGGTGCATCTACACAGGGGGAGAAGGAAGGCAGTGCCAGACCACTTTGGACTGCCATGACCCATTATTATTATTATTATTATTATTATTATTATTATTATTATTATTAGAATATGATATATAATCTATATATATATAAATGCTCTGTGCGTAATGAGTACCTTAAAAACAAAAGAACCAATGAACGAAATCACACCAAATTTGGCAACAAAACGTCTCACAACACAAGGAGTGACCATCACTCAAAAAATATGATTTTGTCATTTGGGAGTTGTAGTTGCTGGGATTTATAGTTCACCTACAATCAAAGAGCATTCTGAACCCCAACAACGATGGAATTAAACCAAACTTGGCACACAGTTCTCCCATGACAAACAGAAAATACTGGAAGGGTTTGGTGAGTAGTGTCCTTTGGTGTTGGAGTTGTAGTTCACCTACATCCAGAGAGCACTGTGGACTCAAACAATGATGGACCTGGACCAAAACTCTACACGAATACTCAATATGCCCAAATGTGAACACTGGTGGGGTATTTTCATTCTCTGGACTTTGGGAGTTGTAGTTGCTGGGATTTATAGTTCACCTACAATCAAAGAACATTCTGAACCCCACCAATTGAACAAAACTTGGCACAGAGTTCTCCCATGACCAACAGAAAATACTGGAAGGGTTTGGTGGGCAGTGTCCTTGGTTTTGGAGTTGTAGTTCACCTACATCCAGAGATCACTGTGGACTCAAACAATGATGGATCTGGACCAAACTTGGAATGAATACTCAATATGCCCAAATGTGAACACTGGTGGAAAATAGACCTTGACATTTGGGAGTTGTAGTTGCTGAGATTTATAGGTCATCTACAATCAAAGAGCATTCTGAACCCCACCGACAATAGAATTGAACCAAACTTGGCACACAGTTCTCCCATGACCACCAGAAAATACTGGAAGGGTTTGGTGGGCAGTGTCCTTTGGTTTTGGAGTTGTAGTTCACCTACATCCAGAGATCACTGTGGACTCAAACAATGATGGATCTGGACCAAACTCTACACAAATACTCAATATGCCCAAATGTGGAGTTTGGGGAAAATAGAATCTTGACATTTGGGAGTTGTAGTTGCTGGGATTTGTAGTTCACCTACAATCACAGAGCATTCTGAACCCCACCAACGATAGAATTGGGCCAAACCTCCCACACAGAACCCCCATGACCACCAGAGTGGGCCACAGCAACGCGTGGCAGGGGATGGCTAGTATATATATATTATATATTGTATTATTATATGAATATATTATATATTATTATCGTAATAGTTGAATATGTATGCAGGGGATCACAATCCACAATCACATCATTGAAAAGTCTTCTTGTTGTTGTTTATTACCTGCTTCTCTTACAACTTGGGCCAGGACACACCCTAGTTCAAATGTAACAAAGTTTGGAAACATGTCCTGTTCCTGCTTTGAAAGTGTTGTTTCCTGTTTAATTGTGTGCTGCTTGCTTTGGAAGTCCTTGTTCTGCTCCAGAAACTTTGTTTTTTGTGGCTGCTACAAACTGTGTGGAATTGATTGAGACTCCAGGAGATACTCATTGAGAAACTTGAGCAAAATGGACTATGTATCAAAATTTTGAAATATTTTCCGTTCCTGGTTTGAAAGTGTTATTTCCTGTTTAATTGTGCGTTGCTTGCTTTGTAAGCCCTTGCTCTACTCCAGAAACTATGCTGAATTGGTTGAGATATTCATTGCAAAACTGGAGCAAAATGTGCCATAGCAAGATGTCCTTTCCTGCAAAAACAAAGTTTTGGCAGTTTAATAAAGTTTCCCCCTTTTTTTTGATGATAGGACCATAATAGGAAGTGGCATTGATAACCCAGGAACAAAAATCGTGTTACTTAGTGTATAATAATAATAATAATAATAATAATAATAATAATAATAATAATAATGTAATAATATAGTATAATAGGCAATGGTATTGATAACTTAGGAATAAAAATCATATAATATTATTAATAATAAATAATGTAATAATATAGTATAATAGGAAATGGCATTGATAACTTAGGAATAAAAATCATATAATATTAATAATAATAAATAATGTAATAATATAATATAATAGGAAGTGGCATTGATAACTTAGGAATAAAAATCATATATTATTATTAATAATAATAATGTAATAATATAATATAATATAATAGGAAGTGGCATTGATAACTTAGGAACAAAAGTCATATATAATAATAATAATAATGTAATAATATAGTATAATAGCCAATGGCATTGATAACTTAGGAATAAAAATCATATAATATTAATAATAATAATGTAATAATATAGTATAATAGGAAAAGGCATTGATAACTTAGGAATAAAAATCATATATAATAATAATAATAATAATAATGTAATAATATAGTATAATAGGAAGTGGCATTGATAACTTAGGAATAATAATAATAATAATAATAATAATATAGTATAATAGGAAATGGCATTGATAACTTAGGAATAAAAATCATATATAATAATAATAATAATAATGTAATAATATAGTGTAATAGGAAATGGCATTGATAACTTAGGAATAAAAATCATATATTATTATTAATAATAATGTAATAATATAATATAATAGGAAATGGCATTGATAACTTAGGAATAAAAATCATATATTATTATTAATAATAATGTAATAATATAGTATAATAGGAAATGGCATGGATAACTTAGGAATAAAAATCATATATAATAATAATAATGTAATAATGTAGTATAATAGGAAATGGCATTGATAACTTAGGAATAAAAATCATATATAATAATAATAATAATAATAATAATAATAATAATAATGTAATAATGTAGTATAATAGGAAATGGCATTGATAACTTAGGAATAAAAATCATATAATAATAATAATAATAGTAATAATGTAATAATATAGTATAATAGGAAATGGCATTGATAACTTAGGAATAAAAATCATATTACATATTGTAATATATTACTATATTATAATATAAAATTATAATATAATAAATGTAATAATATAATATAATAGGAAATGCTATTGATAACCCTGGAACAAAAATCATGTTACATAGTGTAATATACAGCAACGACAATAGTGATAATATAAATGTAGTAATATAATATAATAGGAAATGGCATTAATAACCTAGGGATAAAATCATGTTACATATTGTAATAGATTATAATAATATAATAAATGCAATACTATAGTATAATAGGAAATGGCATTGGTAACCTGGAACAAAAATTATGTTACATAGTGTAATATATAACAACAACAATCGTAAAAATATAAATGTAGTAATATAATATAATAGGAAATGACATTGATAACCCAGGAACAAAAATCATGTTACATAGTGTAATATATAATTATTATTATTATTATTATTATTATTATTATTATTATATAGTAACAATAATAGTGTAATAATATAGTATAATAGGAAATGGCATTGATAACCTAGGAATAAAATTCATATTACATATTGTAATATATTATAATAATATAATATTATAATATAACAAATGTTATAATATAATAGGAAATGGCATTGATAACCCAGGAACAAAAATCATGTTACATAGTGTAATATATAATAATAATTATAATAATCATTATATAGTAACAATAATAGTGTAATAATATAGTATAATAGGAAATGACATTGATAACCTAGACATAAAATCATGTTACATAGAGTAATATAATAATAATAATAATAATAATATATACATTATATAGTATAGTATAATAGTAAATGATAACCTAGACATAAAATCATGTTACATAGCGTAATATAATAATAATAATAATAATAATAATAATAATAATAATAATATATTAATATAGTATAATAGGGAATGGCATTGATAATCCTGG